CGATACCCGAAACACATTTCAACACAACCACAAAAACCATTTCGGGCATCATTCTCCTGGTGTTCACTGACATTTATTTTTGCACGGATTCTCAAATAGAACACCAACAAGGGACGCTCCAGAAGGCGCCGCACCAAGCAAATCAAGAATGCTAAAAACATTCAACACTTCATGCTGTGCTCCGATCATCTACGTCGCAGTGATACCAGCTCCACGAAAACTACAACCATTCAAGAATGGTCTCTCTCCTTGTTTTTTTCTCCCAGCCCTGCTCTTTATAGGGCTTCGCATTGATGCACAATGCCCGAAACAACCAAAAACCACCTTTCGGGCATCCTTCTCCTGGTCTTCGCTGACGTTTATTTTTACACGGATTCTCAAGTAGACCGCCAGACAGGGACGCTCCAGAGAGCACCGCGCCAGGAAAATCAAGAAAACCTAAAACATTCAACACTTCATGCTGTGCTCCGATCTTGATCTACTCCACATTGATACAAGCTCCACGAAAGCTACAGGCATTCAACAATAAGTGCTCCGCTATTTTGTCATCCCAGTCTTGCACTACCATATTGGCTTTCGTCCTGTCCTTTCTCAGGTATATCTTACTGTTTGTTTAAGTATTTTTATCATCACTAGGAACTGTGTATATCAGTTTGCGTTTGTGGCATCTCATACAAGTCCCTAACACATACCCCAAAATAGTTTTGACGTCAAAATTTATAGGTCCGAGCATTTTACCCTTCCAACTTCCCACCGGTTGACGCTTTGGGCAACACCCAGTCCCAAAAAATCCAAACGCAAGAGACTTGAGCTTTGTCCCAAGCCAATCCAAAACAGAGCCTCTGTTTCCCAAACGCGGAGACGGTTTCCCTCAGTCGGTGGCTGATTTTCCCAAAAGCGGGGCCAGATTTTCCCAAAGTCGGTGACGAATTTCCCCAAAGTCGGTGACGAATTTCCCCAAAGTCGGTGGCAGATTTCCCCGAAGTCGGTGACAGATTTCCCCGAAGTCGGTGACAGATTTCCTCAAAATTGGTGACAGATTTTCCCAAAATCGGTGACGGATTTCCCCAAACTCCAGGACAGATTTCCTCAAAATCGGTGACAGATTTCCTCAAAATCGGTGTCAGATTTCCCCAAAATCGGTGACGGATTTCATTTCCCCAAAATCCGCGGCGGATTTTCTTCAAACACCGAACCAATTTAATGCCCAAAACCGGAACTTTTGTTTGCTCGAACAAGGCCAGTCTTTCCCTAAAACGTATTTTCTGTTGTTGCTTCAATTTGGGATAAGCGCACACAGGCGCGCTCCACATCCGAATGAAACAACAGAATTTGGAAGAGGGCAGCAAAACTGGACTAAGATGATGTTCACACGCTTGAACACCTTTGTTTTCTGGTTTCATTTTAAAGGATGTCATTTCCAAATGGATTTAGTTTCCAAGCCTTTGGATGCAATCTCCTAAACCGGTGGATTTAATTTCCAGACTGCATGGGTTACATGATATCATTTCCAAACTGTGTGGATTTTATAACCACACAAGTTGGATTTGTTTTTCACGCGTTTTGTATTTCTGCCTGTGTCGTCCTTTCTTTCCATGTTAGATTGTCTCCGCTGCCAGCTGCAAACTTTGGACATTACAGTGTTTACTGTTTTTCGGGCACGCTGGAATTTGCTTCTCGTATGGTATAACTTGTGTATGATGAAGGTTTAGATTTATAGTAATCTTCATTCATGTATTGTTTGTTTGCTTCTACTTTCTTCAAGGAGCACTGTGTCATTCCTCCTCTTAACCCACGTTCAATCATCTCATACATTTCTTTTATGTGTTTGTTGTAGTCTAACTCAATGATTTAAAGGCATTCCAATTATAGGTGGGTGTGGACCGAGCTGTGGAAGGAAGAGGGCGGGGTGCCAGACGGGAGGAGCTGTGGAAGGAAGAGAGAGGGACGCGAGACGGGAGGTGCGTGGGTGTGGACGGAGCAGGGAGAGGCGCGAGACGGGAGGTGCGTGGGTGTGGACAGAGCAGGGAGGGGCGCGAGACGGGAGGTGCATGGGTGTGGACGGCGCTGCGCATGGATTGCAATGCATGCGCCAGACAGTCAAGTCATGGCCAAAACGGCAGGATTGTTGCATGCCAGAACCGCAGTGCTTGAAATTTGATGGCTGGAACGGAGCATGGAGGGGGCTGATGCTGCTCCATGCTTCCTGGAACGGTTGTCAGAAGCTATGTTGCAATGGGGTTGGAGACTAGCTGCAGAGATTGAAAACAGCCACGTGATATATATATATATATACATATATATATATATACATATATATATATACATATATATATACATATAATACATCCAACCTCCAACCCGACTAAAAAGGGAACCGTCTTGTCTTCAGTGTGCTTGAGGGTGCTTTGCCGTGGGTAGCGGAAGCTAAAAGACCGGTTGCGCGTTTCTTTTTGCTTTTGGGTCCGCGGGCTCACCTTGTGTTTGTGTGCTTCCTCATGTGTTCGTTTTTTTGATGAGTGCTGGTTAGTGAAAGCTGGTCAGACAAAAGGTACGCCTGTTCGTTTTGCGGGGCACACAACCTCTGTTTCAATCCTACATGATGAGACCTGCGCGGTCAGTTTTCACGGTGCGCCCATCGCACTGCAACCGTCCAAATAAACTGAGAAAAGAAGATACAGTGGGAGCACATGACATGGCTGTCTTGCTGCAATCGAAGAACGACAAAGGTGCCCGGCTACTTCGAAAAGATCAAATACGAGGCGCCCAGCGCTAGCTCGGACTGTCAAAGCCACCACAAGACCATCAAACTTCTGAAAAAGTATGTCATGAAAGGCAGCCCATAGGCTAGAGGCGAGTTGTTTGGCAAACGCAGTCAGGGGGGTGTGGGGGGGAGGCACCTTTTGGAGTAGCATAGAGGCGTGGCGGGGAGTGTGAAAAAGTTACGATTTTGAGATCTTGGTGATGCCGGCGATGCGCCGATGTTGGTGTTTGGGTGATGTCGATGATTTCCAGGTTTCTAAGCTGGTTCGCGAGCGTTGTTTTGCTAAGGGGTATCCTTTCGCGACCCCGCAGGAAAAAGGTTAAAAAAAAAACACGATTTGAACCGTTTTTACCGCGGATATGGTAGAATAAAAAGGAGCGCGCCCCCGGTAAAAACGGTAAAAATAGAAAATGTTCGATGTTTACCGTTTTTACGCCCCGGTAAAAACGGTCGTTTTTATCGCGGATATGGTAGAAGAAAAAGGAGCGCGCCCCCGGTAAAAACGGTAAAAAGAAACAATCGATTTTTACCGTTTTTACCGCGGATATGGCAGAAAAAAAAAGAGCGCGCCCCCGGTAAAAACGGTAAAAAAAGGAAAATGTTTCGATTTTTACCGTTTTTACCGCGGATATGGTAGAATAAAAAGGAGCGTGCCCCCGGTAAAAACGGGAAAAAGAAAACGATGTTTATCGTTTTTACCGCGGATATGGTAGAAGAAAAAGGAGCGCCCCCCCGGTAAAAACGGTAAACACAAACATGTTTTTCGATGTTTACCCTTTTTACCGCGGATATGACATTTAAACATGGAGCGCCCCGCAGTATAAAAGATAAAAAACAAAGATTCTTGCCGTTTTTGCCACGGAGATGGTAGAAAAGAAAAGGACAAGTCCACCTACAAAAACGGAGAATAACACAACTTTGATTTTTAACGATATGGTAGAAGCAAAAAGAGCAAGCGACTCTTCATTAAAAAAGGTAAACAACAAACGTAGTAATTTTCACTTTGGACCGTTTTTTTACCGCGAGAATGCCTCGGGACCAGGTCGCAAGCTAGAAGACCTCTGTCAACAAAAAGGTTTAATGTTACAGCCCGGGTATCTTCCTATAACCAGGTGGGGTTCACTCCTCCTATCATATAGGAGCGTGTGCCCTTTTCGACAAGAGGAGTTTGGTGATTGATCAAAATTTCATGACTTTTAACTTTTGCAGGGCAATGAAAGCCTACATCACTTGGATCGAAAACTTTCGATTTTTACCTACCGCGCATATGGCAGAAGAAACAGCGGTGACCCTCCGTTAAAAACTGAAAAAAACATAGACCCGTTTGCCCCCCTCGATCAAAACGGTACAAAAAGAACAACAATTAATTGTACCGTTTTGATCGCGGATATGGTATTGAAAAAGGAAGCGCCCCCCGGTAAAAACGGTAAAAACATAAAATGTTCGATGTTTACCGTTTTTACCGCGCAGATGCCTCGGATTAACCCAGTAACCCCGGCAACTACGCTAAACAGCACAGCCAGGTTTGATGGTTAGCATCATTGGCATTCTGGGTCACTTGTAGGTAGGTCGACTTATGGCTAGTGAGTCATTTGTAGGTAGGTCAATGGATGGATGAATGGATAGAAGGGGAGAGAGTGTCAGAGAGAGATATAGCGAGACAGAGAAATATGCAATAAAAAATAGAAACATAGTCAACCTAAGTGCATCGCTACTAGTTTCTTGCTACTAGTAAGGCACTTGTTTCTAGTGAACTAAAGAGTTTGTTTTGTGAGGTGTGGCTAGAGGTGAGAAAGGTAAAGCGTCCCTCGACTGTTAAGGTGCGTGGATGGAAGGATGGATAGAAGAGAAGGGAATGTCAGAGTAAGAGGTCCAGGTAGACGTGGCTAGATGTAAGAATATGACCTGCAGACGTGGATGGATAAATATGTGTAGAGTGTATATAATATAGATAGGTCAACGGATGGCTAGTAGAAGAGAGGGTAGGCCGATGGGTAGATGTGGATGGATGGAGAGCGACAAAGATAGAAAGGCAGGGACATAGATATCAGATAGACAGACAGTTAGACCACGAAGATAGATACATAGATCACGAAAGCCAGCCGATAGGATAGGCTAGGTAGAAGTTGTGTAGCGAACGAAGTGAAGGGTATCCTAGACTAGTAGCTTCTTGTTACTACTAGTAAGGCACTTGTTACTAGAAGCGATGCACTTGTTACTACTAGTAAGGCACTTGTTAGGTGCAGAAGTTCAGTTCTTGTGTACGGCATGGGTGGAAACGGGTGGCGGAGAGTGTTAAAATGTGTCGGTTCGGAGGTCTTGGTGAAGTCGAGGATGCGCAGGTTTGTGCGCTTGCAGATTTGTATTTTGAGTGCGGCTGAAGTCTGAAGGCAGGTCAATAATGGATGGCTAGCTAGATGGATGGGTGGGTAGAGGGATAGAAGGTGCGAGAGTACAGAGATCAGCTGAAGAGGTAGAGAGATAGAGGCATAGAGAGATAGACAAATGTTTGAGTAGATGTGGCTAGATGTAAAAAGATTGATGGATGCATGTAAAGTGTATCTATATAGGTCAGTGGATGGCTATTCGGACGAATGGATGGATGGATAGAAGAAAGAGAGTGTCAGAGAGATAGCGAGACAGAGAGGCCAGCTGAAGAGATAGGGAGATCGATCCACAGAGAGATGGATAAATTTTTAAGAAGATGTGGCAGATGATCGATGTATAAAGATGTGATGGATGTGGGTAGAGTGCAGACAGGTCACTAGATGGCTAGTCGGGTGAATGGGTGGGCGGACGGACGGCTCGATAGAAGTGGAGGAAGAGGTAGAGAGATAGGGCGCCTGCCACAGCGAGATCGAGAGACGGAGAACTAGAGAACGAACATGAAATTTGGCGACCGCCTGGAGTGTTTCAAATGCACAGAATGCAATGAGCAGCGCTTGTAGGTAGGTCCATGGATGGCTAGCTAACTGGATGAATGGGTGGATGGATGGATGGGTGGAAAGAAGGGGAGAGAGTGTCAGAGAGAGAGAGAGAGAGACAGACAGAGACAGAGAGAGAAAGCGAGACGGAGAGACGGAGAGAGTAGATGTGGCGGATGTAAGCGCGGATAAGTAGATGTGGACACATGAGTGTGTGGAGAGAGTTGATATTTCAATGGATAAATGGATGGATGGATGGATGAGAAGGGGATGGAGTGTCAGAGAGACGGTGAGACACAGAGAAGCTGAACAGATAGAGAGATAGAGACATAGAGAGAGAGAGAGAGCCACATAAAGATAGAGAGATTGTTAAGTAAACACGTAGATGATGCTAGATGTAAAAACTTGATAAGTAGATATGGATAGATGGATTTGTGTATAGTGTAGATAGGTCAATGGATGGCTGGTGGGACGAGTGGCGGGTGGTTGGTTGAAAGCGCAGAGAGAGGCAGAGAGATAGAGATGGAGAGCTAGAGAACATATGGAAGCCATCCTCACGGGTGCCTTTTGTTTTTGATGGTCTGATAGCCAAAAAGGGGTGCTTGTTATAGCGAGACCGAGAAATGGACAATTTGTTGATGCTGTTGGCGGGTCCTGGCTTGTGTTTTATTCTTTTCACAGGTTCTTTCACAGAAAAAAAAAGATTGGGCAAAGCGGTTGAAAACAGCTGATAGACAGTCATGTTGCAAGGTGATTGATCGTGACAAAGGGAAGGGGGAGGACGGGGCACAGCAGTAGTAGCGTTCTTGTTACTACTAGTAAGGCACCTGTTACTACTAGCGATGCACTTGTTTCTACTAGCTTCTTGTTACGACTAGTATTTGTTTTCTCACGGCTGCACTATAGTCGTTTGATTTGCCTTGGAATCCGTGTTTGAACCCGCAGGATGGCACGTGGGGTACAGACACCATGACCTTCCAAGATGACGAGCTCTCCTATGCTCTTGGCAAACAGGGCGGAACCAGGCCGGAAAGGTCCACAAAGGGTGGATCACTGGTGCTGCAGTTTTGGCAATTTGAAGTTATCCAGAAGGCTCCAACTGACTCCAAATCCGAGACACGTCATTTTCGACATGGCGCCTGACTCCAGGAAAAAACTGGAGAGAGCATCTGGCGCTGTCGTTCAGTATGTTGGTCAGGCGCCGTAGATGTCCCAGCCTTGAAGCCAACCCGAACGGCCAATCCAATTGCTGTTGCAATAAGAAGGAAAGCCGAGACCCTCAAGCGGAAGAGTGTTTTGAGATCTAACTCTATAAGTTTCGAAGCGGGAACCTCATGACGGGGGTTTTGAGCGTTATCAGCATGGAAACGGTCTTGTGAAGGTGGCCCTTTTCTCCGGCGAGAAGGGATTGCGTCGCAAAGCCAAGGACTTGAACATTCCTAGTGATTGCTGAATTCCCAATGCTTCTGTGTCGCTGATCAATGTGTTCTCGTTTGCTTGTTCCTCTCCAGGAGTACATGAAGTGGTTGTTTGACCAATTGGAAGGGCCTGTCAGAATCTGAAGAAAGCCAAAAAGCAAGACCATTTAATTACAAGGTAAGTTAACCCCAGCCCTCAGGTCTATGTCAACGGCTGGGAAGATCGTGACGACTGTACGGTGGTGGACGTGACCAAGTCGCACTTGGACGGTGGGACAACGGAACATGCGGAACTTTCAGAAATTGAAACATGTTCGTTTTTGTTTAAAGTTTTGTTACTAGGAGCAAGGACGCTACTAGGGGCTCCTGGCCTTACTACTAGGAGCAAGAAGCTACTAGGAACAATGGGCATCGCTGCTAGGAGCAAGGAGTGCTCTGAGAACTTGAGTTGTTGGTTGGCGCTTGAGTTCTTGGTCTTTTGGGTTGTGGAAAGGACTCATGCCTACTAAGGTTCCAAGTGAATGCATTGGCTATGTGACAGGTGCCCGTCGGGCTGCATTGGGAAATATGGAAGAGGAGAAAGCAACAATTGCAAGTCTATTGAGTTCAGTCTATGTGTCTTGCCTTTACAAGTTGATATTTTGCCTTTTAGACAAAGGGATGCGCGTGACACTCGTGGCACTGACAGTGAGGAGTGGGGCACGCTGATGTTCTTCATGAACAAAGAGGCGATGAATGGCGGTGGAAAGGCGTGGCCTCAAAAGGGATGAGTGGCTACTAGCGATGGCCTACTAGCGACCTTTCTTTTCTCTGGCTTACACGGCTTGAGTGCTTGTGAGTTGGAATTGCACTCGGTCAGGGCCGGGACCGGAGCGCCCGGGGCGGCTCAGAGCAGTTGGCAATCTTCGGCGATAAACGCTCCCGGCGTGGGGCAGAGCTGAAGGCCGACCATGACATCTGTGACGTTCTTGTTGGAACGATCTCTAAAGGTCTACAGAAAGAAAGAAGAGAAAGAAGTTGGAGCGTTCTTGTCGTTTAAAAGAAGTTATGGCATTCCTCTAATTCTTCAGTCTTGCTCTATCATTCCTGCAAGCTCCGCCCGTTGCTCCTCGTTGACGCCGTGAAGATGGCATCAACCACCTCTTTCATCTACCGCATCCGTTTGTATTTTCTTTACCCAGTATCACTTATCACATGTTATCACCTCTTATCACTTCTCCTTTTCATCCGACAAATTCATAATCTAATTACCTATGTTGTTGGCTCTATGTATTCAGGGTCCCACAGCGAGCACTCTAATTATTCAAATATGTGTGCACAACACAGACCCAAGGCCTCATTTTGCGTTTACTGCGTTTACTGGATGACAACGTTGGTTTTCTAGTGCTTGATTGTTTGAACTCGGGTTTTCCTCCGGCGTTGTTGGGTTTTCTAGGTAGAACATTGTTTGCAAGAGAGAGTTTTATACTCGGTTTAATACTTTGTCTTTGTCCAACCTTGCTCATCAATGCCAATGTTGTTCCTGGTGTTCACAGGATGTTTCCTGCTTGTCATTATTCAAGGATGGCCTCCCACCTAGTAACCTAGTGGCAATGGCCTCCCACCTAGTAGCGTCCTTGCTCCTAGCAGCGATGCCCTTTGTCCCTAGTAGCTTCTTGCTCCCAGTAGTAAGGACAGGAGTCGGAGCCCCTAGTAGCGTCCTTGCTCCTAGCAATAGCCTCCAACCTAAGAGCGGGCTTTAAAAAGAATCCTTCCTGTTTCACCCACCGTGACGGACAGATCATGAGCGCTGTGGAGACCAAGAGTCCGGGTGCGTTCACTCGCGGGGTCCGTGAGAAGTTCAGCTCTGTATTGACCTCAAGATGACGCACGTGTCAGATTCATCAGGATTCCATCCATGAATGTTGGCCCGAGGATAAGGGCTTTGCCACGGACAGGTTCATCTTGAAGGCATCGTGGAGAGAAACAGTTCTAGATAAAGTGTTGCACAGTGGAACTGCAAATTTTCTTACACGGAAACGGACTTGTTGCAAGTCTTTGGAGATGAGTCACTACAAGTTTGCACTTTGCGTTTGCCGCGTGTTGACAGGATGATGAGCTGAGCTACGCGTTGGGGAAGGAGGTCGATGTGGACACATGTAGACACTGGTTTGAGTCAAAGCCTTTCAGTGTTCACTTTGCACCTGGGTTGCTGAAAGATTGCCCAGGGCGCAACACGGAAGAAACTGGAGTTGGCCTCAGGAACAATCTTGCAGTGCGCCGAGGGAGGTAATGAATGCCGAACATGGAAGGGGTTCTAGGAATGTCCAGGAACCTGTACGCAAAGCAACATCCATATACAGAATTTGCAATTAATTTCTCCAAGTAGTTCCAAAATGGAGGATCTCTTTGCTTGGAAAGTGGAAAGTCTGTTCTGGAGCCTGGGAAGGTATGTCGGCCATGTGGCATTTTTGGCCGGTGACCTGAAGGACAGATGTTTCCACGTCTTTCACGAACAAAAAGCATAAAACTCCCACCTAGTAGCGATGGCCTCCCACCTAGTAGTGATTGCCTCCAACCTAATAGCGATGGCCTCCCACCTAGTAGCGATGGTCTCCCACCTAGTAGCCATGGCCTCCCACCTAGTAGCGATTGCCTCCAACCTAACAGCGATGGCCTCCCACCTAACCTAGTAGCGATGGTCTCCCACCTAGTAGCGATGGCCTCCCACCTAGTAGCCATGGCCTCCCACCTAGTAGCGATGGCCTCCCACCTAGTAGCGATTGCCTCCAACCTAATAGCGATGGCCTCCCACCTAGTAGCCATGGCCTCCCACCTAGTAGCCATGGCCTCCCACCTAGTAGCGATTGCCTCCAACCTAATAGCGATGACCTCCCACCTAGTAGCGATTGCCTCCAACCCAATAGCGATGGCCTCGCACCTAGTAGCGATGGTCTCCCACCTAGTAGCCCTGGCCTCCCACCTAGTAGCGATTGCCTCCAACCTAATAGCGATGGCCTCCCACCTAGTAGCCATGGCCTCCCACCTAGTCGCCATGGCCTCCCACCTAGTAGCGATTGCCTCCAACCTAATAGCGATGGCCTCCCACCTAGTAGCCATGGCCTCCCACCTAGTAGCGATGGTCTCCCACCTAGCAGCGATGGCCTCCCACGTAATAGCGATGGCCTCCCACGTAATAGCGATGTCCTCCCACCTAGTAGCCATGGCCTCCCACCTATAGGAGCCATGGCCTCCCACCTAGTAGCGATTGCCTCCAACCTAATAGTGATGGCCTCCCACCTAGTAGCCATGGCCTCCCACCTAGTAGCGATTGCCTCCAACCTAATAGCGATGGCCTCCCACCT